CAAACCGTTCCCAAAATCTTGCCAAGAAAACTGCAAGAGCCTGTCAGGAGACAAGAGTGACTCCAAGGCACACCCACACACAATCTTTGTTGACATGGGATGCCTCGGTTTAGCTCAGAATAATTGTGCTTAAGCAGAAACAATTCACCAAGGAAGTTTGAACAGGGAAGAAAAACAAAAAATAGATTTAATGTGGGGCTCATGTTTTATAGGAAGACGTAACGCAGCTTGTTGATTCTTTCAGCAACTGTGGTAAATAAACCACAGTTTATGGCTCAGCCTCAGCCCATTTTACAGTCCTAACCAAACTGTGAATTATTCAAGCCACAGTTAAGGAAACTATGACTTAATGTGACCTTAGAAACCAATAAGATCAGGAGTAGCACCAAAGGCGAAAAATAATTTCGTCAAATCACACAGGCAGTCCTTGAACTTACAGCCATTTGTTTAGTGACCATTCAAAGTTACGACGTCAGTGGGGAACAAAAAGGTGGCATGACCATTTTTCACATTTACGACCGTGGCAGCCTCCCCCTAGTCACCTGATCAGAATTCAGAGCTCAATATTCTTGGTACACAGATAGTCCTTGACTTACAACCACAATTGAACCCAAAGTTTCCGTTGCTAAACGAGACAGTTAAGTGAGTTCTGCCCCATTTTTTGCCACCGTTGTTAAGTGAATCACTGCAGTTAAATTAGTAACATGGTTGTTAAGTCAATCTGGCTTCCCCCCATTGGCTTTGCTTGTCAGAAGGTCATAAAAGGGGATCCCATGACCCAGGGAACACTGCAACCGTCATAAATACGAGCCAGTTGCCAAGTGTCTGAGTTTTGAACATGTGATCATGAGGATGCTGTAGGTCGTAAGTGTGGAAAGCGGCCATAAGGTCCTTTTTTGTCAGTGCCACTGTGACTTCGAATGGCCACTAGATGAATTGTTGTAGACTGAGGACTAGCTGTAGTTCCTTCACTTCCTCTTGCCGTTAAGCAGGAAAAGGCCTACCTTGCTTTGGCCTCCATATCGGTGTAAGAATTGGCTGCCACAAAATGAGTTACGTCAGCAATGTGGACGGCCAGTTCCAGGTGGCCGTCGGGGAGGAGCCTGATGGAGAGGGCATCATCCACATCTTCGCAGCCTTTGGGGTCGATGCTGAAGACCAAATGGGTCTCTCTCAGATCGAGGCGCTTCTGCTGCTCCTCTGGACTTACTTGCCACGGCTTCTCCGGGATGAGCGCGGGCATCTCACACATCTGCGTGCATCAAGAGTGAGGCAATGAGAACGCCGCGTCATAAACTGAGCACTGGTATCATCTAGTTCAGTGTCATGCCCTTGTGAGAGTCGGACTCTGAGGGAGAGGAGGAACAGCCGACAGAGAGTGGGAGTGTGGCTCCGTAGGTTGTGGAGGAGGCTGGGCAGTCAGAGGAAGACCCAGGACCATCCCCCCTCCATCCTAGGGCACGCAGGGAGGAGAGGGTAAGGGAGAGACGTGAATGGCATGGTCTATGGGAGAGGAAAGGGCCCTGATTCCCTTCATGGGCTGCAGCTGTGACAACTGGTTAAAAGGATGGACATGCGTATGGGCCAGTGCTGGAAACAAAGCGTGAAAATATCTAGTCTGTTGTTCCTGTCTCAGTTTGGCGTCCTTCCCAGTGTGTGTTCTGATATCTGTGGACGTCTTCAAGCCCTTATCTTGCCTGGTTCCCTTAATTGTTTCAGTGCGGTTTGTGTTGTTTTTACTCTTTATAATTCATAGGCATTTTTAGTTTAAACGGCATTTCCTCCTTCTTGTAACTGCTTGTGGGGGAGTTTTTTGTCTCCAGTCAAGGATATTTGGAGCTTTTGAAGCAAAGTGAAGGAATAAAAGGGGCTTCGCCTGTTTTTGTGAGTGTGTTTAGAATATATACTATACATACACGTACTATAGGCAGAGGCCAAACAAGCAGCAATTACAGCAGGGAAGAACACACAGCAAGACAGAGATGCCCTAATAGGGCCTCTTCTTATTGTACAAGTTCTTAAAGGTATAATAGCTTGTGTACAGCCCCTAATATTTGTTAATTTAAGAACTGGAAAAACTTACCTGTGCCTCGGAGAAAGGACTAACCGAAACAGTATTCTCCACTAGAATTGTTTGTATTTCTCCCTCGAGGTCGCCTATCCGGCCCACGACCCGCACAAAATGTCCGTTGGGGTACAGCGAGGTTGGTTCCCAAGAGTCTATACGCACGACAACCCGGAAGTCCTGACATGAAACCACACCAGAGGTGGTCAGAAGAGCAGAAAAATATGTCTGCACCCACCCACCCTGGACTCTGAGGGAACTCTTGAACGCCAAACACAACCGCTCACCTGCAACGCCTCGGCCTGCTGAGTGCTTATTCGGATTTTAGGGATCCTGTAATCCCAGGGAGTCACAAGAACCTTCTGGGCGTTTTTGGTGTGCGGCTGATTCTCTTCCCTGGATGGGAAAGTGACCACGTACTCGCGCCAGTTCTTCTGCAGGATGCCCACCACTTTGCCTGGGACGGGAAACCGATGCCAATTATTAGACTGACAGAGTTGGAAGGGGTCTTGTAGGTCATCTAGTCCACCCTCCCACCCAAGTGGGAGACCCGACACCGTTTCTGACAGAGGGCAGTCCAGTCTCTTCTTGAAAGCCTCCAGGGATGAAGCTCCCACAACCTCTGAAGGTAACGTCTGTGCCATAAGTGGATTTTTCTCATTGTCAGGAAATTCCTCCTTATTTCCAGGTTGAATCTCTCCATTATTTCATCCATTATTCCTTGTCTGGCTTTCAGGTGCTTTGGAGAATAGCTCATCTCTGGGGCAGCCCCTCAAAATTGGAAGGCTGCTCTCCTGTCTCCCCTGGTCCTTCTCTTCACTAGACTAGCCAGGCCCGGGTCCTGCAACTATTTATCGCATGTTTTACCCTCCAGTCCCCTAATCATCCTGGTTGCTCTTCTCTGCACTTTTTCTAGTCACAACATTTTTTTTATAGCGTAGTGACCAAAACTGGATGCAGTACTCTAGGTGTGGTCTTACTAAGGCTTTATAGAGTGGTATTAGTACCTCCCTTGATCTTGATTGTATCCCTTTGTGAATGCAATTTAGGATTGTGTTGGCTTTTTTGGCTGCCGCTGCACACTTCTGGCTCCTATTTAACTGCTGGTCCACCAAGATCCCTCTCACAGTTCCTGCTATTGAGCCTGGTTTCACCCAGTCTATATGTGTCCTTTTGGTTTTTCTTGTCTAAGGGTAGGACTTTACTTTTCTCTACACTGAATTTCAATTTGTTAGATAGGGCCCAGTTAACCTTGATAAGAGAACAGAAGTATAACCGGGTCTGGCCGCCTGATCTCAACAGCTCTTCTTCTTGGCCACGTACCAGTGGGCATGGGTTCACCATAAACCTCCCCAGCGGTCTTCTCTTCCCCCTCAGTCTCTCCGAGGGCAGCCGTCCGTTCTTTCCACTCCTTCTGGGGCAATAATTCCACCGCCACCACATCACCATGGATTGCCCTATTTCGGGCTTTCGTGCCGTAAATAAGAACATCTGTCTTGAGATCTGAGTACCAAGGAGAAAAAATAGGGATCAAGAGATCTTAGTATCTCTGGCATTAGAGAGGAGAAAAAACAAACAAAAAACCAGGAGATTTTCCATCTGCTTCAGCTTGTTCATTAAGGATATTCATGGATAAGAGATGATCCATTAAATGATGAATTAAATTAAATTAAATTAAAAAGTGGAACAATAGTTGTTCCATATGCAAAAAAAGCCTTGTTTTAACATAATAAATGTTAAGATATGATACACTTGGCTTGTTGTTGTTTTTAAAAAAGCTACCCAACATTTCAGGATATTATGTTGAGGTATTGCAATTTAAGAGCTGACCAGATGTAGCTGATGCAATATAAAGCTGATGCAATTGAAGAGGAGTCAGCATTAGTATTGCCCTTTTAAGATGAACAACGAGTCCACAGAAGTTTATATAAGGCAGCCATTAGAGGTCACGTTTCTCTCGCCTTGTGTCCTGTATCCATTGCAGAGTTCTCGGTGTAGAGTTCAGAAGAAAGATTGCTTATAAGGTATTTGCCTACCACGCATATTTCTGTATATAACTGTTGTCTATAATCCATTGTTAAATGTCTAAGCCCCTGTGTGCTCTGTTTTGCCCTTGGCTTGTCCAATAATAGTAGTCGCACTGCAAATGCTCTGACTATATTATCTTACTAATTTTTATCCCAATCCAATCCATGCCTGTTCCAAGTATCCCCAACAGCTCTGGGGAACCCATTCCCAAAATGACCCCCAGGTTCAACTGAACCCACCATAGTATCTGCAACAAAACAAAGGAGCAAAGGTCAGAAAAAAGTAGAGGCAGCATTGTCAGAAGCAGATTCCACCCATTAAACCAGCCCCTTTTTTTTTTCCAGGCAGCCTAGTTAGACCATGAATTGAGGTGTAAATTAAAACAAATTAAATAATTAAATTAATTAAATCGCCTCAAGGGTACATTGCATAGGAAGGCAAAAACTGACTTGGCATGAGAGCCAAATGGAATATGCTGGATTTGTCCTCACCTTTTTCTTTGTTGCTAGTGCCTTGAAGTCGCATGAATGCCTCTACTTGGGCTCTGTGCTTATTCACATTCAAGACCCCCTACAAAAATGAACAATAAAATGACAGAATATCAGAGTTGGAACTTGGAAGGGACCTTGGAGGTTTTCTAGTCCAACCTGCTGTTCACGGCAAGAGATCTTATACAGGGGTGGGATTCAAATTTTTTAACAGCCGGTTCTGTGGGTGTGGCTTAGGTGGTGGGCGTGGCTTGGTGGTCACGTGACTGGGTGGTCATGTTATTAGTTGGGCGTGGCCAACTCAACATCACTCACATCGAGGCACACATCTCCTCACCTGGCCTCTTGTGACTGTGGGGATGCTGCATCAGTTGTAAGTGTGAAAAATGGTCCTAAGTCACTTTTTTCAGTGCCAGTGTAACTTTGAATGGTCACTCCACACAAGCAAAGTACCAGCAAAGGAGGGGAAAAAACTCCAGAGAAGTTCCTGAGACAGGAAGTCTAGTCCTGCCAAGAATGTAATAAGGGTCAATGGAGAGGCAGTTTCTGTAAGCAACACCAGAATGTTTCCTTCCTGCCTTCCTGACAGGATTAGCCCAGTAATTTCTTCTAACAACCGGTTCTCCAAACTGCTTAGAATGTTAACAACCGGTTCTAGCGAATAGGTGTGAACCGGTAGAATCCCACCCCTGGATAGTATTATGGTACCATTAGTACTGTTTTACAAAACCTAAGTAAGTTGTTAAAAATTTGAATCCCACCCCTGATACTATCCCTCTATTAATGTAGCCTAGGATTGCATTGGTTTTGTTTGTTTTTTTAATTGCGGAGCTGTTTCAGAATCGTGCACGGATAAACCTTGATTTATTTCAGTTCCCTGATTATATACCGTAAATGGAGGTTTTTTTCTTCTCAATTATATTGGTAAGAGAAGCTTTATGGTATCAGAGTATCAGGAAGTCAGAGAAAATCCTCAGTCGAGGTCTAAGAGAAGCGAAGAACTGAACCATGAAGGGCTTTGGAAATACTTAGTATAAGGTTGCTTCAGGATTCAAATACTAAAGAGAGCCGTCCACAGGATGGAAATGACTGGCAGCCCCTATTTATTTTTGTTTGTGCTGGATATTCTGTTTCGATTTGGGGGCTGACATTCTTTTAAGTCTAAGTGCTGCCTGGAGGAATGCTGAGAATTTTTACGAGCCAAACAGTTTAAGTATCCCAAAATGCCAAAATGTATTCATGCACGAGATAAATAAGTATTTTAAAAATAAAGTCATGTGCAGCAAGTTGGTCCTGAATCAGGAAGGATGAGAAACCCCAGGAGGGGTGTGTGTGTGTGTGATTCTGCACTCAAGTCTTTTTTAATACAGGTAAGTAAAGGTTCCCCTCATACATACATGCTAGTCGTTTCCGGCTCATCCCAATTACAAAGCTTTCTGCGCGTGCATTGGAAGCGTCACCTGGATGTAGAGTCCTGATTTGATTCCAGCTTCCAGGATCTCTACAGGGAGATGCTCGGGGTATTCCTTCCCACTGTTTTCATGGCTTTCGCTTTCCCGTTCACGTTGCGACTGGAGTATGGAATCCAAAAGCTCGTGGGCGGCTTTTAAATCGGGCCAGAAGTTGTCCAAGTAATTCTGTGTGTACGGATGAAGAAGAAGAAGAAGAAGAAGAAGAAGAAGAAGAAGAAGAAGAAGAAGAAGAAGAAGAAGAAGAAGAAGAAGAAGAAGAAGAAATTGGAGACCAACTGTCTGCCTTGTCTACCGATTTTACTTCATTAATTGTACCATTGATGTCGGCTGGGCAAGGTAGGCCAGACAAGAAATATACCCACAAGAAGCACTTCTACTGCGTAGTAAGGTTACTTCAACAGAATCTTGCAAGTCTCAATGTACGTGTCTCCTCCCTGCATCTTTACATCCAAGAAACTAGGCAGGGTGTAAGAACTGGCCTCTACTGTCTTCTAATCCTAACCCTTCTGCTTCTTTTACAAACACACCTCAGCCAGGTGTTGGCAGGGGCAGCCATCAGCACTTGGAATCCAGATCCTAAAGTAACCCCAAAATAGTTAAGCGACCAATTTTGTAAGCTGACCCACAAAAGAACAGCACGAAAGTGTTTACCTTGAACGAGATCACAAAGACACCTTCCGTTTCGCTTCCAAACAGCTGTACCGCCTCTTCGTCCTCTGTAACCATGACGACGGGCATCTGGCCTGAGAAGTGATTATAGTACCACACGGAGGCATTGTAAATGCTCCTAGGAGAATCAGCGTTCACATTTATCTTTAGGATGTCATGTTACACCTTCCCGTTTCGCTCTGATCCCGCAGTTCGTACGACTTCATGTCTGCCATTTGAAAACATGCCACAACTATCTAAGTCGGAGGTCTCCAAACCTGGCAACTTTAAGACTGGTAGACTTCAACTTTTCAGTCTTAAAGTTGACAAGTTTGGAGACCTCTGATTTAAGTCTATGCAGTCCTTCATGTTCTGACCTAGGTTTATCTTAAAAACAAGGCTTGTTTTATTGCAACACTGGAAATTATTTTCATTCCCAGCCAGTAATGAATCTCAAACAGTCCCTCGAGATAAGCACCCACCTTTCTTTCCTGTTAAGAGCTGCCAATAACAGAAGTGTCCAATGAAACTAGAAAGAAAACCATTAACCTGCCAGCAGAACTTGTCAGAATGGAGAATCCAACGTTTCTACCAAAAAAATTAAGAGCTAATTTTTTGCCACATCCACATAGGGCAAGACTGAGTCGTGAACTAGGGAAAGTGACAGTTGACAAGGGGTGTGGTAAAAGATTAAGGATTCAGTCTCCGGGCAGAAAGGCAAGTGTCAACCCATCCGTGGATTCTCCAATCGACGTGCTGAAGAAAGAAAACTAACCTAAGAGCTTCAAGAATGAGTCTGAACCGCACAAATGACTTTGCTTCCTGCAAAGGTTTCTCTACCTTTGCCTGTCCTTTATACCTTATGGGAGGGGCAATGACCTCCAAGCCTTACTCCCGAGTCACCCCTTTTGTCTCAGCTGCTCTTGCCTTCTAGCAGCTCTGCACATGCACGCACTGGGAACAAGCTCCCCTGGTTCCTCTTCCTCGCTGCTGCCAGACTCTGGAGGCTCCGGAATCAGCACCCCACTCCCAGATGGTCCTGGCTCCATCTCTGCATCGGATGCAGGATCCTCGTCCGAGTCCTCCCCAGACTCCCGGACTGGTCCTCGTTCTTCCCCACTGTCTGATTCTGCTGCCGTCTGCACAGGCTGCCAGCGAACCACAACACTTCAAGCGTTCACTGATCAACACTAACGGGGAACTCTTTCCACATTACTTTACTGAAATACTTTATTGATTAGGCCTTATCGGAGTATACTTTATCAGAATAAAAAATAGGGAACAGACCATATGTGAAAAATAGAGTATAAAACACATAAATGGAGGAAAATGCACATCTTATTTCGGTGTCACCCCAATCACATCCAGGTAGGCAGTTCTCAGTTGTGCT